TATTTATATAATATATCAAACAATTTTTTATTTAAAATAAAAAGTTTATTTCGTTACGGGAGGGGTTCCTAGTCGCCCGTCTCTTGTTTTCCCTCAGCATTTACGTATTGAAAATTGTAAATTTTTATGGAATCACCTTGAAATTTGAGATTTTCTTTTAGTTTTTGCACCTTCCCCGATTAAATTAAAAACATGTAGGGCTCACAATAAAAATGTATGTCAACCAAATTTGAATTGAATTTTGATTATTGCATATCTTTTAATTAAGTTACGACTTACCTGTTGCTCTACTCGATAGAGTCTTGCTCCAACAGTCATGGGTTTCACATTTCCCACCCTGTCTATCCCAGCTAAGTAACTCCCTGGTTTTCCCAATGTTTGATCCAGCCTCCTTTGCAATTCCTTTAAAGAAAAATTATTCTCTATCATTATTATTACTATTATTTATATATTTTGTTTGGGTGACCAAAATCATAACTTTTTCGTACCTTTATTCGCACCATCATATTAAGATGACCTTGACTATACTGTTCGATGACGTCACGGACGTCGTAAGGTTTCCTGGCTTGTTGGAATTTTCTTCGTGCAACGAAGTATTTTATTTTCCTTATCGCCCGAATGGCATTTTTATGGGCCTCTGTTAATCTATATAAAAATAGTCTGTAAAATTCTTGCTCTGTAGAACAAATGATGAGGATACCGTGGATAGAGAAGGTTAGAAATGAAGAGGTATTAGAAAGAATAGGAGAACAGCGGACTCAATAAAAATAGGCGAGTTAGATTGGACGGACACCTTCTCAGGCATGAAGGTCTGGTCAGAGACATATTAGAGACAGAAACGGAAGGTAGAGTAGAGGTAGATCTAGATTAGATTACTGTACGCAAATAGTTAAGGATGTTGGATGTTTTAGTTTGAAGAAAATGCGAAGATTAGCTCAGGATAAGAAAGAGTGGGGGTGCGTGTCCAACCGGTCTTAGGACTGACGATCTTAGGATGATGATGAATCTATACTGCTCGGGACTTAATTTTCTTTAATCAATTCTTGATAGATGCTAATACTGCTATATAATGCACAAATCTAAACATGCTAATTTATTGCCTTTTCGATATATGCCTAGATTCTGATTTACCTATTATAACATAAATGCAGAAATTCTGTATTTCGACAAACTAGTTCAATTTACTGAGGTAGGGCTTTTACAATATCTCCCTTTGAAATTATTACCTATACTATAGTCTGTACATTTTATTGTGACGACTAGAGCAATAAAACTATCATCAAGTGATCTCCCTTGTCTATGTTGCCTATTATGGTACTATTCAAAGAGAGCATGCTTTGTACTCCACTAGTGTTTTCATAACTACAAAGATAGACATAATAAGGATTATTGTCCCTTAAAATTATTACTGGATAAAGTTCGGATAGTGTTCTTTATGAGTGTTAATGTCAATAATTCAGCTAAACAAGCTCATAAATCTCTTCAAAGTTTTATTGCTCCAACCGTCACTTTGAGATAGGTATACGTTATGTTGTATTGGAAAGCCGAAAAGCTGTCGGCAGTTTATAGAGAAGCTCAAAACAAGCGAAAGCACTACAGATACACGTAAAATCGTAATAATACACAATATAAAAAGACGAATGACTGCCTACCTTTGAAAGTGGCATGTTGGATGTTGTGTTTCCAGAAGCTACATCTTGCCTCCCACCCGAGTTACCGCCGTTGTTTGTGTCCCTCAGATAGATTTGCCATGTTGCCGTCGAATTGAAACTTTTATCAGCAGCATAACATCTCCAGAGACATTGGATCAGCATCGCTGCAGCGGGAATTTGCCTGTTGAAATGCTTTTGTCGCTGTTTTTGTTGTACTTTTAGAGCGAAACCGGAACCCAATATTCCCTGTAATGGAAGAGAGGGTTTAGACTATTCCCGTCAAAGCGAGCATTGGATCACAGCACTCCTTTACATTCGTGTGCATTATTAGTGAATATTTGTACGATAATAGAACTTTATTCGAGCAACTGCTACTGGAAATCGATATTTTAGAGAATACGTGCTGTCGTACAAAACAGCTCATATGTACCCAATTTTTATCTGTAGTTTCGACATATTTTGGAATCAAAATCTTTAATTGACAATCATCGGTTTGAATGTTAGAGGTGGTAGAAAACAATTGGAAAATTGTGGGATTTACGCAGACTCAGCTAGTACTTTATATAATCAAGAAAACCTCATAAAAACCTCAAATCCTGAAACTGAATAGAACAAAAAACCCACACTGAGACACAATCGTCAGTAATATTTATTGAAACATATAGTACCCGACTAGAATTTAGAGTTCATGCCCCAAGTTGTGTGCGGGCCTCATGTGGCTAATGAGGGGCATGCCGATACAGCAATTTCCCCGTAGATTCCTCATGAAATAAGTGATATGTACATAAATTGTATATTTTCATTAATAATAAAGTTCATTTTTCCAAAAATTTTTAATTTGGTAGCAATAATTTTTCCCTGCGGGGGTCACATGCGGCATTCCTGATGATGCGCAAATGCTGCAAAGCGTTATATGCCCCTATTTTGCCGTAGGGGGCAATCTCATGGGACCCACAAGAGCCAGTGTGGCTACTCACTTACCTGCACTTCCCTCAAAATTCTAGTCGGGTAATAATGTCATACATAGAAGAACAGGGGACCCTATGGAAGTCAATAAGGAATAAGCCAAATAGATTGGTAGGACACCTTCTCAGACATGAAGGTCTAGTCAGAGAAATATTAGATTACTGTTCGCAAATAGTTAAGGATGTGGGTTGTTCTAGTTTTAGGGAAATGCGAAGTTTAGCTCAGGATAGGAATGAGTGGAGATGCGTGTCCAACCAGTCTTAGGACTGACGACCTTATGATGATGANTATTTATATAATTATTATACAATAAGTACAGTTTAATTTATAGAATATGCAAATAGATTATATAATATGTTATAGTGTGCCCCAAATTACCGTGACCAGTTTTTATTGACTCCTGTACAATGAATTTACATGAAAACATTCCCAGAAATGTATCCCCTCTTCGATAATTTAAAAAAACATTGGAAATATCAATTATTGAATTGTGGTATTACTGATTAATTTATGAGTAGGTAAGACTATAAAAAAAAATTAAGCAGTGTCTCTTTGTAACTTCTAATGTTCATTGAAAATGAGCAAGAGTTTTTATTCTGTTATAAAAAGATCAGGGACTTCTTTGATAGCACCAGCAATCATATAATTAATTAAGAAAATGTCAGATAATTTGATAATCAAGTATCCTTTTAATTCAAGTAGCGAAATCTTTCCAAAAAGGCCAAAAACTGTATTTTTTAATATTTGTGGTTAAGATAGGTACCTTAAAATCCTAATGTACTGGAGCAACTCCAGATGCGGGACTCGATATCGTTCGTTTCTTTCTCAATCCCTGATTTTCTCTGATTTCGTAGATCTGTGAAATTGATGAGAGGTTTTCCTCTGGTTTTCAAGACCCTGCCTAAAAAAAAATTCGCCCGCGGCATAGCCCGATTCTAGATCCCCGTTCTCCATTGTTTTTAGAAATTAAAATATTTAAAATTACAGTAGAAAACTCATTGCAATATAAACTTGTCCTTTGAGTTTTTTTTAATTAAACCATAGAAAATCGATCTCTGGGTGTATGTAATATGGGGATACGTAAATTATTAATATTTTCAAAATAGGAAATCCTTTCGGTTCCCATTGACTTTAACGACCCCTGACTTTGACACCCTCCTTTGCCCCCACCAAACCTTTAAGCAGAGTCCTTCTGGGGTCAATAAAGGGTTGGTTATTTCCAATGAACATTAATGTACTTTTCATTTACATCCAAGCCACCAGATTTATTTAAAAAAATTATATTAATATCTGAATGATATCTGCGGTAAATTTTATTAATTTTAGTCAATTTTGTGTGGTTTTTACTTCCAATATCTTTTTGCAATTTCAAACTCTTGACATGCTCGTACTTATGTATGTAGAGAAAGATGGTAAAACCCTTAACACAAGAGGGTAAATCTGAAAACTAATACAGAAGCTACAACGGTAACTTTGGTGAAATTGATTTACAATTGTTTTTTTATATTTATGTACAAATACTGTATAATATTTATTTACGTAAGATATGTTTGTATAGAATATAAGTAGTAAGTGCATCAAGATCTTTATTGCTTTATAAAGGTATAGATGTAGATTTTATTTATAAGTAGCATTTGCATATTTTTTATTTATATTAATATGCAAAGTGTATGGTCTCTTTCGTGGAATGTACACATGTGTTTAAAATTAGTTTTTTATAAAATATTAGTTGCGCTTTTAAACAAATAGCAAATTAAAATTAAAGTATCACGAAATAAAGAAATGAACGAATTGAGATATCCCACAGAACAACTTTATATTTTTTTTGCAATTTCGTGATCTTGTTCCTGTTGATATGACATTTATTTCGTTAGAAACTATAATTCAAATTCAGTGTACCCTAAGGGTGCGTCTACATCTGAGCACGAACACTGCACAGATGTTCGAGGCAGGGCGATGCGGAACACAAACGAAGCTGACCGAGGCGTTGAACGCGCAGCGTTCGAACATTTTATTTCATTTCTTATTTAATTAGTAAATAATGACTGGTGATAATGATTATTAATAAAACCACAATAGAAAGTAAGTCCACATTAAATAATCGACTTGAAAGGATTTGTATTCGTTGTGTCTCCAACGTGTTCATGCTCAGATGTACTACCTCCTTAATATACATATATATATTCATGAATTTAGTGAACTAGATAAAAATCACCCTGTAGATATTTTGGAAGTAGTGTTAGTAATTATGACGTTTGCATTCTGAATTTTAAATGCATTAGTGCAACTTTTATATTGACACCTCCGGACATTCACGTGAGCACCAACGAGTTTATAATTTTATGTTTTGCTTAATATTCTCAATTGCAAT